TTGCAATAATCGCTCACGCAACAAATAGGCAATCTCATCACTCTTCTTGTAACAAACCTACCCATCGTTAAGCTGTAGATTTTTTTTAAACCCAGTGTGTTAGCCAATTTTCTTCAGTCGCCTTTGATATTAAAAACAGCACATATTTGCTTCTCAGCATTTTCTGCATCAGATGTTTTAATTTAGGGCGTTTTGTTAATTTAATATACGGTTTAAACGCGTAGCTGCCGGTTGACTTGCAAAACTAAAATTTATTCAACAATTCCAATTTGAAGTTGATTAGTACCAAATTTAAATTTTTTATTTCCAATTTGACTTTGTTTATTCCCATTTTGAACGTGTTAGTTACCAATTTAAAGTTGATTAATCCCAATTTGAAATTGTTATGTTCCAAATTGAAATTGATTGTTCCCAATTTGAAGTTGAAAAGGTATAGATAATAAAAAAATTGTTATAGCCGTATTTATCGATTTGAAAAAAGCTTTTGATGTTGTCAGTATCAACATACTTTTAAAAAAAATTGAAAAAATGGGATTTAAGGGAATTATATATAAGCTTATAGAATCTTATTTGATAAATAGAAATCAATATGTTAGACTTGATAGTATAAGCAGTAATCTTTTAACGAATAACTATGGGGTCCCTCAAGGCTCAGTCCTGGGTCCGCTTTTTTATTCACTATATGTGTCGAGTCTTAAATGTGCAAATATCAAGGGTCGCTATTTCACTTTCGCCGATGATACAGCTCTATACCTTTTCAACTTCAAATTGGGATCAATCAATTTCAATTTGGAACGTAGCAATTTCAAATTGGGATTAATCAACTTTTAATTGGTAACTAACACGTTCAAAATGGGAATAAACAAAGTCAAATTGGAAATAAACAATTTAAATTTGGTACTAATCAACTTCAAATTGGAATTGTTGAATACATTTTAAAGTTTTGCAAGTCAAACGGCAGTTACGCGTTTGAACCGTATATTAAATTAACAAAATGCCTTAAATTAAAGCACCTGATGCAGAAAATGCTAAAAAGCAAATATGTGCTGTTTTTAATAACAAAAACGACTGAAGAGGATTGGCTAACACACTGGGTATAAAAAAATCTACAGCTTATCGATGGGTAGGTACCCAAGAAGTTTTTCGAAGGAAAAGTGGGGGACAGAGAAAAGAAAACATTTTAGTAGAAGAACATAAGGTATAAAAATTCAATGGGTATATGAATGACTGGAAACATGGAGAAAAATCATGAAATTACGCTAAAATAAAAGAAAAATTTGGACAAAATCTTATTTTGAGGATATGTATGTTTTCATTCGGGCTTAATGGCCGTCGTAAGTTAAAATTTCTTCCTGACGTCTGGTAGCAGACTGCTACTTACCAGAATCGGACATAGAAGCACCTCTGAAGATGCTAGCCATGTGTGCTAGCGAAACGCGAGGAAGAAATTTCAACTTACGACGGCCATCAAGCCTGAATGAAAACAGTTCATCAATAAACCCGGACCGCGAAAGCCTCACAAACTTTATCAAAATCTAATTTTATTACTGTTCTCCACAGTCCCTTTTTCATGATATATTGATTTTGTTCACAAGCAATCTTTCATTTATATTAATACCTAAATCGAATAGGTCTATTCCCAATTTGAATTTGTTTCTTCCCAAATCAAAATTGATTAGTCTCAATTTGAAGTTGATTAGTACCAAATTGAATATGATTATTTCCAATTTGATTTTGTTAATTCCCACTTTGATATTGTTAGTTCCCAATTTGAAGTTGCTTAGTCCCAATTTGAAGTTGAAAAGGTATAGTATACATGTGCGAAAATGAAATTGAGCTTATGCAAATTGTGAATGAAGATCTTGATCTATACAGTGACTGGCTAGTTTTTACCAGATTAAAGATTAATGCTGATAAAACTAAGTATATGTTGTTCAGACAAAAAAATAAGCTAGTTGAGAAAGTTGATATTGTTATTAATAATATACATCTAGAAAGGGTGGCATTTATTAGATACCTGGGTTTAATAATTGATGAACAACTTAATTGGCAAAACCATATAAACAGGATCAAAAATAAAATCATTCCAATGATCCCAATTATATATAGATGTCGAAACTACTTAACTTTCAAAACTAAAATGATTATCTATAATGCATTCTTTTTATCGCACCTTCGTTACTTGTTACCTGTATGGGGAAACTGTTGTAAAACGAGATTTACTGAAACTCAAACTCTTCAAAACAAAGTTTTAAAAATTTTATTTAATTATGACATCCTTACAAGCACAACGAGTTTGTACAGTGAACTGGGAGTGTGTAAACTGGAAACAATATTGGAACTGGAGCAATGCAAATTGATGCATAAAATAATACTTCAACAACAAAAAAGTAATACAAATATAATTTTTTCTAATGAAGTACATAGTCACAATACAAGAAACCAAAATAATTTGTATATAAATTTTAAGAGAACAAATTTAGGGCTATATAGTCCAATACAGTGTGCATCCAATTCATACAATGCTATACCTGATAATATTAGATCAATTACTAATTACAATGTATTCCTTAAAAACCTAAAAGTACTGTATAAATAATTCAAAACAAATGTGATTGCATCTTTTGCTAATCTTAAAATGTGATAACTTGTTACTTTAGTTGTAGAAATGTAGAAATGATTGTAAACATTTATATTCTCGAGGCCAGGGCTTTAGGCACTGATTTGAGATTGTTATTGAAATTGTAATATTATTTATGAAAGAAATAAAAGTTGTTTTCAAAAAAAAAAAAATTTCACATTCACAATTACTTATACATAACCAGTAGATATTAAACCAGTAGATATTATAACCAGTAGATATTGAACGAACTGTAACTCAAACTAACCAAAAGTATGCAAACTAACCCAAACTAACCCGTCCACGTAATGCGTGTGAGTCCTTGTATGTTGATATTGAATTTAAAGGTAATTTTTGTGCTCTCGGGAACGGGCTATAAGGCGTTTTCTGAACAAGTTCATTTTTGGTACACATATATAGGACATCAAAAGAAATTTTTCCAAAAAAAATTTGCCCTTGACTGTGACCTTCATCCTTAACGTGCTGAAAACTTGTATAGTGTTGAAAGGCATCTCAAGTAACCTATATACCGAGTTTCAGCCTTCAAGGTCATACACATTCAGAGATACGGCAACTCCGCATTCTCAGTTTGGGCTCTCGGGAACAGGGTAGAAGGTGTAGTCCGATTGAGTTCATTTTTGGTATAAATATAAAGGCCGTAAAAGGTAACAGTTCAGTAAAGGTCCTACAAAAAAAATATCATGCTTCTTTATTATAGATAGTTTAGTTTGATCCCAAAATATTGGTTTATGATCGAAAATGTTGGCGCAAACCCGGGCGCAAATAACTATAAATTGGATTTTATAAATATTGAATGAATCCTCTTCTCGACCTTTGACACAGATCAATATATAACAGGCCTATTCGGGTTTGGAAAAAGGACGGTTCTAGAACGGTTCAAAACAATCGTCCAGTTTATTGATCAACAAAATAACAACGACTCGACTATCACAAATTTCAATAATAAACTGTGCGATTCTTCTGGACCGTTCTAGAACCGTACTTTTTCCAAACCCGAATAGGCCTAATATCTATTCTTATCAGCTTAATATCACACTCGCTCTGTTTAGCAGATAAAAATTTAATAAACGTAAAAAGCATCATGTGGTAGATATTCGAATGAAGAGAAGAGCTAAGTGTTCAAACCATTTTTTGAAAAAAAAACATTATTGAGTTATGATAAAGCGTATAATATCTACTGAACTTTTGAAATTGGTACACTTTAACCGACAATAACTGTGCTATATCGAAACTGATCAAAAATATGCAAACTAACCCAAGCTTACCCGTCTTTGTAATGCGTGCTAGTCCCCGTAAACCTATCTAATCGAGAATTACAAAATAATGCAAAACAACCCAAATTAGCCCATTCTTGAAATGCATGCTAGTATCCTTGAACATTTTTATTTTATCTAGGTTGTCACGCTTGGTTGTCGTTGTTAATCAGTACACTGTATCCAGTTTTAGATAAGTAACTAATATTTAATATCATGATGTTTCCTATTAAAAGTGTCCAAATTGGCCCACCCTGTACATAATTTCAGCACGATAAATAGATATTTACGTGAATTTCACTGGTCAAGGTCACGGTCAAGTTCACGGACAACGGCCAAGGTCAATTTTTTTTTTTGGGGAAATTTCTTTCAGCGGCCTTCATATGTATACCAAAAATGAACTTGATTGGACTACGCCTTCTAGCCCATTCCCGAGAGCCCAAACTGAGAATGCGGGGTTGCCGTATCTCTGAATATGTATGACTTTGAAGGCTAAAACTTAGTGTGTGGGTTATTTATGATGCTCTTCGGCGCTATACATAATTTCAGCACGATAAATTGATGTTTATGTGAATTTCTCTGGTCAAGGTCGCGGCTAAGGTCAATTTTTTCTTGGAAAAATTTCTTTCAGCGGCCTTTATATGTATACCAAAAATGAACTCAATCAGAGTATGCGTTCTACCCTGTTCCCGAGAGCCCTAATCATACCAATTTAAAAAACAAAGCGCGCTTGGCGCCCTGTGTTCTCAATCAGTACACTTATAACCAGTAGATATTAAGCGAACTGTAACCAAAACTAACCAAAAATATGCAAACTAACCCAAGCTAACTCGTCCACGTAATGCGTACTAGTCCTATGCAAACTAACCCAAACTAACACACCTTTAAATTGAACCACTTTAATTTATAGATTTTTCTTGAAAACTAATATAATCCGCATATTTTTATATTGAAATCGGTCCAAAAAGGCTAACTACAACATTAGGAATGCATCTTATAAGAAACTGCGTGTTGCACTAAAGCGTTTCACCACCAATAATTTTTCTAAGGAAAAATAACAAAATACCAAGCCAAAGGCAAATATTGTGATATTTATTTTCTTTTAGAATTGGCTGTAGAAATATTTTCTGAAGCACAAAGAGGCAAATCCTTAAACCGGCTGCAACTTAACACTGCAGCCCGAATATCAAGAAATGCTTGTGTATCCCCTTGCTCTCTGGTTTTGGCTATGCTATACTTTGAAAGGCTGAAAAAGTGTAATGTCGACTATTTGGAAAGAACCATGCCAGCGGATCTATTTTTGGTATCATTGGTAAGCAGAAATTCTAAAATTATACTTATCATAATAAAAAATTCTGTTCTTAGATGGTTTCCTCGAAGTTTCTCTTTGACGATGGCGAAATGGATGAAGTATTCATAGATGAATGGGCTGCATCATCTGGTATGACTTGCAAACAATTAAGACAACTAGAAAAAGATTTTCTCAATGCCATTGTAAGCAATTCAAATGGAATCAACCTACAAAAACTAATGAAATATTTTAGGATTGGAACGTTTATGCTAATGAAATTACTTTTTGGAAAAAACTGAATGAAATGGAAATACAGTTGGCTATTAAGGAAGGGAAAGCTAGAGGTCATTTTACCTACACAGAACTGCAAACTTTAGGAGATGTATTAGCTCGAGGTTGGTAAAATTAATAACAATAATCACCAAGAATCATTATTAATCGTCCTATTTGCTCTAGATCTCCACAGTATTGTCCAATGTGTTGTGGCTGTATCAATTATTTTAGCAGCTACATATACAGCAGCTTTATTCACCATTGTTGGCTCTGTAGCTCTAGTTAGTACTATACCAGGAACTAGTTTATATCAAAGTAGAATTGTTAGCTGTGAAATTCCTCCAACTACAAAGAATGTGGCAATAGAAGGTACAATTTTGTGTTTATTTTATAGGTTGATAAAATTTGTATTTTTAGAAAACGATGTGATTGTCCCTTCACCATCTAATCAGTCTAAAGTTAATGTTTCTAAATACCACAGCCTCAATGCTCTCAAAGTGCTTAAAGCAAGCATTTTGTTGGCTTCTATCAAAACAGACAACCAGAATTATTCCGAAACGGCAGCAACTGTGAGACTTGAAACTAATAATTCAATGTGCCAATATGTTAGTTGGGATTGGTGGAATATACCAATAATGAATTGGCTAACAGAAACATCTGATTATATAAAATCCTTCGAGATACCCGCAATCGAGAATTATCTATATTTTATTGAAAATGCTGCTACAAATGAAAAAATTGTTTATTTGGAAGATCATATTCATAAGGCGACAAAAACACGAATTCAGGATCAAATGGAACGGTCTTGGCATATGGAATGGACCGACACTATAAAACACAGTTTGACTTATTTCAATATTCTGCCTCATTTGCACAACATTAAACATTAATTGTTTCAAAACTAATGTACTATAAACCAACCCAGGTTCTTTGAAGTGCTTTATCGAATTTGAAAATTATATTAAATAAAATAAAATATTCAGATATAGTCGACTTTACTCTAACAAAAATTATTAAACTTGTATTTGCCTGATGGAACATCTCTCACACAATTTTCTAAACGTGCTCCATACATGTGTCTAACCAACATTTTAAAGGTATGTAGCAGGTTCAATCCTGCTTTTTCTTATTGGAATAAAGACGATTATTGATGCGATAATAATGATAATCAAATGTTTTATTTTTTCCTGAAATATCCAACTATCAAAAAACAGGGAATAGAAAAAGAGCTTAAAAGGTGATATTGGTATTTATAATGCTCTTTTCTATCATTTAAGATTGTTTTACTTTGTTAGTTATAGTTGACTGCTTTGTCAAGATTTATTTCTTGGACACTAACGTATAGTATTTTTATTCCGAATTGAAGCACTAAAAAAACATTAGCCTGCATACATCAAAAAATGGGCGTCACATAATTTCTATTTCTTTAATGGTTATGATCAAAATGGCAAATATGTATATAAATTGGGATGGCACTGGTTATGAAAATCGCCTAGTCATCTCAGCAGGTGCACCTGCATCTTTCCGGGAGAGCCCACCCCAGTAATTCAACCTATAGACGTGTGCCGACCTAAATTATTATTTTGGGCAACTTGTAGCGATATTTCCTCGCTGCTTATATTTTGTACAGGGAACAGTATACAGGTCTGGCAAGTCAACATCTTATGGGCCAATTTAAATGCAATAGAATGAAATGTCTCCAGCATGCTCCCAAACCAGTATTGGGATTTCAAATTAAGATTGTAGCTAGGGATGTCAATAACCGGTGGATAAAACCGAAAATCTGGTGTTTTCCTTTCGGTTAACCGGTTAAAAACAGTTGTTTTTTGCTTCCAGTTATAACTGGATAACCGGGTTTCATACCTAATAACCGGTGAAAGTGAAACATGTAGACTTTTCTCTTGTCTCATTAAATAAATTGTAAAATATTGAATAAGCGACAACAGTCGAATACCTACCTATTTCCACAGTCTTTAACCGATAGTAGTGCCTCTCTGTAGTATTTCATTTAAGTTGTGGTTGATTCGTTCAGCAACGGGTTGTTTTCCATCCTTCCCTATAGAAAATTCATAAAAACATGTACCTACCATGTACTACATTACATGTAGGTTAAGGAATCCATCTCAATGGTACATGTTTAAAATGACAGAAGAGAAGAAAAGTGTAGGTATTCTTTAATTCTTTGATGATTTTTCTTAACATGTAACAGTTCCCGATTTTTTTCAGATAGATATGTTGTTGTTTAACTAATTTTACATTATAGTATAAATAATGCAATTATTCTGATAAAATTCGGAAAAATAACCGAACAAACAGTTAATCGGAATAACCGGTGTTTTATATCAGTTATAACCGGGCAGTTAAAACTGTTACTAAATAAACCGGTTAATGGAAAAACCGGTGTTTTAATAAAAATTGACATCCCTAATAGGCATGATGATAAATTTCGAAAAACTATCCTATAATGTTCGGAAATGTATATTATTCACAATGAATCGGAGCTGGGCAAAGCGAAGTGAAAGGGTTTGAAGCACTAAGTCCTAAGCCCTTTCTCAAAGTGCTTTCAATTTCAAGCACAAATTCCTTTTTACTTTCAAAAGTGCTTCACAAGCACAAAGCCCTCAAAAGTCAAAGTGCTTTGTGCTTGGCAATGGCAAGTACAAAGCCCCCAAAGTAATTTATAAAGTGCTTGAAGCTCATCAAAAGTGCTTGGGGTGTCTCAAAAAGGGCTTTGAAGCTCTTTAAATGTGCTTGAAGCTCTTTAAATATGCTTGAAGCTCTTTAAATATGCTTGAAGCTCTTTAAATGTGCTTTAAGCCCTTTGAATATGCCCTGAAATCTCAGTACCTACTCCTAACAACGCTAGCGAGCAATAAAAATACAAAAGCTTAGTTTCAATTTCCTCAGTTCATTTGACTAGAGAATCTTTAAATTTTGTATTTTTTTGCAAATTACAATTACAATAATTGTGAATGGTAAATGGTATTGGTAACCAAAATAATTGTAAGTGTGGGTAATTTTTTTTAACATGGTATCCTATCCTTACACACATAGAAAAGTGATTTATATTGTTGATATAGAACGCTCACTTCTGTTGTATAGTATTTTTAATACCTATTTAGAAGTACCTGTCGTTTTAGTGACAAAACGTATGTCGCTTCTTGACACACAAATAAAATCAGGTTAGGAATTTCCTATTTGAAGACAGGGTCGGATTAAGGTCTTTTGGGGCCCGGGGCTATTTTCACAAAAGGGGCCCCTAGGTCCCTGAATTAAATTCAAACGTCACTCAAAATTTTACCTTTCAGATTAAAAAAATGTAATTTTGGACAAACTGTTTGATTTGGAATTTTTTTTTCTTGAATAAATATTTCTGAATTATCCACCACTATCACCGTACTAAGTAACATTTCTAAAATTTGTTTTTTAAATCAAAATAAAAATTAAAAAATTGGCAAATAAAATTTATTGCCATGTACTCAGCTAGATATAGTAGTTCTCACAACTTTCTCGTATAAATATTTTTGATATTAATTATGCAAATCTGATCGAACAAAAACGACACACAACCGAAGTGTGTGTGCGAAAAATTTTCGTTTTTGCTGGCATACAAAACCGATGCAAATATCTGGCTTCACCTGATTTTATGTTCGAAATGTCAACAAACCTGAAGTGTGTGGGCTTCGAATTTTAAAAACGACGGTTTTGTTTGGTGTAAATTATATGCATGATTTCTTCCCCGCGTGAGGCGGTGTTTTGGGGCCCCCCTCATTCCGGGGCCCGGGGCTTTAGCCCCCAAAGCCCCCCCCTTAATCCGGCCCTGTTTGAAGATGAAATTGACGTATTAGCAATCGACGTTCGTTTTTGTTGGTAATTTTTTGTTTCATCTGATTCCTGATTGATAAATAAGGATGGGGTTATTCTAAATGGGTATTACAAATTCTATAGTCGCCAAGTGACATTTCCGACGGTGCTGCCATAGCGGTGTAGTCATTGAACTAATATTTGGCGGGCCGTTTGAATCTCGGTTTTAAATGACTGGTTTGACATTCCAATTATTTCAAAATAAGGCTGCAGTGCTTCAAAACTTCATAAACTAAAATTTTATACATTTTATTTTCATTTACCTATTTATGTGAGAATCACTCAAAGAATAAAATAGTTTATAATCTATTCATAGATGATCTGGCGTATCTGACTCATAAGCTGACTGGAGCACTTTCCAATCTGCTTTTTGAAAATGTCCATTTTTTTCCAGTTAAATGGCTGTCATGGTTGATCAAGTTATTTATAATTCCCTCGAGCATGTATGGAGCATCATACAGTGATACGATTTCTAGGTTGTTTATTTCTAACAAAACCAAAATTTCTGCTTCTGTGTTGTTTTTGATGTAGATTTCCCTGGTCTGTGGTTGAAATTCGCTTTTGGCCTATTCATTTTTTGCCGCCTGGTCACACACTGTGGCAACAACTCTTAAACCGGCTGCTTATGATGATGCACTTATCATTTCTTTCACAGTCTTGGAATTCAACACAATCATCGACAATGCACTCAACAAATTAATTCAGATGACAAGATGACATTTGCATCATAGAAAAGTGATTTATAAATTCTTAAATAGAACATTCACTGGATTCATCCCCTCCACTTTTTGTTTTAGTTCATGACTACACCGCTGTGCGCCCATATCGCCGTTTCTCAACGTCCCCCTGGTTTTTATTCTAATCTGTGACTTCACCGGTGAGTTAGCTATCTTTGTTTACTGGATAGGAAATGACAATGACCGACCTAGAATGGTGGATATAAAAACCAGTCATAAAAACGCAGGTCCATTTGACATCATAAAATAATGCATATGTCATCTGAATTAATTTGTTGAGTGCATCGTCATTGATTGTTTTGAATTCCAAGACTGTGAAAGAATTAATAAGTGCATCACAAGCAGCCGGTTTAAGAGTTGTTGCCACAATGTGTGACCAGGCGGCAAAAAATAAATCGGTCAAATGCAAATTGCAGCCACAGACAAGGGAAATCTACATCAAGAACAACACAGAAACCGAAATTTTGGTTTTGTTGGAGATAAACAACCTAGTGCCACTGTATGATGCTCCATAATACATGCTCGAGGGAATTATAAATTACTTGATCAAATATGACAGTCATTCAAACAGAAAAATGGACATTTTCAAAAAGCAAATTGGAAAGTTTTTCAGTTAGCTTATGAGTCAGATACGCCAAATCATCTAGATTATAGACTATTTTATTCATTAAGTGATTCTCACAAATATATGAAAATAAAATGTATAAAATTTTAGTTTATGAAGTTTTGAGGCACTGTTTTATTTTGAAATAATTGAAATGTCAAACGAGTCATTTGAAACCGAGATTCAAACGGCCCGCCAAATATTAGTTCAATGACTACACCGCTATGGCAGCACCGTCGGAAATGTCACTGGGAGACTACAACAGAAGTGAGCGTTCTATATCAAGAATATAAATCACTTTTCTATGATTTGCATTATGATGTTAAATGGATACCTGCGTTTTTATGACTGGTTTTTATATACACGACGATTCTATGTCGGTCATTGTCATTTTCTATTCACTAAACAAAGATAGCTAACTCAACGGTGAAGTCAGAGATTAGAATAAGAACGAGGGGGACGATAAGAAACGGCGATATGGGCGCATAGCGGTGTAGTCACGAACTAAAACAAAAAGTGGCGGGGATGAATCCAGTGAATGTTCTATTTAAGAATTTATAAATCACTTTTCTATGCTTACACATCACAACAACTAAGGCTAATTTCATGAAATTACTTAAGTCTGTTTTTTTTTAAAATAAAAGTCAAAATGACATTATGTTGGCAATACAATTGTAAAATTGTCAATGCATTCAAATTTTTTATGTAGAAAAGGCTTGTGTTGCCAACATAGTTACTAGATTTTTGACTTGGGGAATTATCTTTAAAAAAAAAACTAACTTTAAAATTGTATTATTTGCTTAGATTATATATAGTTAGCACTAAAAGATGAGCAATCAACTTCCAAATATGGTACAAAGATCTCTCTCCAAATATTTTGATTTTTTGTCTCTCTTACTTTGTTTACGCTGGTTTTCTATAGTACGATTTCCAAGAATCCGTTTACATTTTGGATCTTTAGATATCTCTCTCTAAGGCAATA